AACAGTTCGACATCCCGCCTTCGAACATCAACACCACCTCAGCCCACTAAATCGTATATTCGAGGTCGAAACTCTCAAAAGCCCGTACCAGTCTCACCTCACAAGTCTCAGCGTCACATTCAACAAGATGGTACGCTATCAGCACCACAGCGCCCATGTACACAGTGCCCTGGTCTAACACTTATCCAGTCTCTCCGTATCGTCCCCCACAAGGCACACTCCACGCAAACCGCTCTCGAGACTTCAGCCCCCTCAGCCCCCGGTGTGCACGATACCCTGCGCTCTCGCCTTGGCCAAACCACCACAGCATCCAGCGCCGCCTCATCGTCGACAGCACCCGTCGCTCTCCAGTCCGCCCACCCTCTCGAGGCCCGTCTCACCCAATGGCGAGACACCCAGGACCGCCTGAAGATGGAGATGCTGAGGCGGCAGTTCGGCATCGCAGAGCCAGTGCGTAGGGGTATGGAGCTCAAGATCGCCGAGGCGGGCGAGTGGAGGCCAGCAACTCTAGGTGGAAGCAGCAACGTTCACCGGGACATTCTGCAGGGACGGGACACGGAGATTGGCTGGGAGGATGTCTTCACTGGCAACGAGCTGCGTGAGGTGCCAGACTTCCACACGGAGATTGAGCACAAGATGAAGATGAACTGGTAGAGCGTTGATGGTGCTTGGTTAGAACACATGGAGGGCATACTGAACGCATTGGTAGCGATACTTCATCCGCCCAAGCCATACTACGGACCGTTTACGATATGGACAACCGGCGTTGGCATAGAACCAGGACACGAATGAAATAATGATACGTTCACCAGCATGGCTTGACTAACCTGCATGTCTTTTCTCTTGGTCGACACTGGAACCGAATATAACCGGCATAATTGGCGAATCAATATGGACTCGGATCACTAGTTTGGGTATAAGGTCGGCAAATGGCATGATGGTTATTGACCCTTGGTACGAAGAACTTGGTCTTTCATGGCTGATCACCCTCAATAGCTGACTCGTCCTTGCTGAAGGGAACTGTTCCAGCAGCTGTGCATGCCTCAAGGTTGCATTCTGGTTTTGCGTGACTTGTTGATCCCTCGTCATAATGATCTGATGTTCGACAGACATAGCATTCTGGCAACTAACTAGGGATGGTGAAAACGTCAACACGCATATTCTGTGCTTATAACATGCTGAACAAGACAGTCTACTGTCATTCCCAGGGTGTCTCGGAACGAGCCCCGGGTCCACTCGGACTGCTGTGCATGTGGCGCAAAGCAGATGCATGAACAGCTCAGCTGACCAATAATGGCCATGGGCATGCAATGCAGGGGCAGACGCTTGGGGAGGCAGAACCTGGCGCGTCGCGGGCCTAGCAGTGTAGGCAGTGACAGGAGAAGCACAAGTCGGCAGGCGAAGAGTTTGCTGGTACACGTCTATCGGTACCAGCAAACATTGGGTGGGTGGCATAAGCCCAGGTATTGAGGCGGTGTTCTCGGCTCAGTAGTGGCTCTGGGTGGAGACGGCGGGTCGCTCTTGCCGCGTTTGCGGATTGCGGAGAAGGGCATAACAAGGCGGCGACGGCGACTTCCCAATCGCGCACGGTCGCCCGACCTTCTCTCTCACGCCCACAGGCCCGATACATCTCAACACCAAACTATTTTTCGCTGCCGCGCCCTCTGCACCGACGACGCCTGCCCGGAAGAATCCCCCCGTCGTGCCATCGTCGTCCACTCGCTTGGCCCGTCCAATCGCTCCCCTTTCGCATCACCGCCGCCCGTCGCGAGTGAAGTCGGCCGACCACCATGGCGTCTACAGCGGACCAAGCCCCCACGGCACCGCAAACCACTCCACAACAGCCCGCCGCAGGGTCGCGACCGCAGAGCAGCAGCGAAGGCCTGTCGTCCAGCCCCGTCGAGATGCGGACTCTCCAGGCGTCGGGCGCCGTCCCAGCTCCCGCCAGCACGAGCACGCATGTCGCAGAGACCCCCGTTCCAGCCGCGATAGCAGCTTCCACACCACACGTGGCCGAAATCAGCGCCTCTGAGGACGCGCCCGTCGCTGCTGCCCCGTCTGCGAAACCCGCACCGCCTGCTGCGTTAAATCGCGCAGAGACCGAGGCGATTGGGCCGTCGACCGATACTCCAGCCGCGAACCCAGACAACACCAATGGCCCCGTGCTGGTCATAATGCTGCTCCTCACCAGCGGCTCGAGACACCCCTACAAGATTGAGGAGAAGTACCTCAAGAAGCGCAACGTCAATGTCGAGAACATGGACCCCTACAACATCAGCGTATACACGCTCAAGGAGCTGATATGGCGGGACTGGCGAGAAGGTACGCATGCGCATCTCTTCTCTACGTGGCGCAAGAGCTGGGAGAAGCTTGGCTCGACAGTGGGGTGGCTATGTTGACGTCTTCGGTCTTGATCTGCATGGTGCCCAAAGACCATCCCTTTGCAGCCTTCGTCGTGCAAACGCTAACTCGTCATTACAGAATGGGAGACCCGGCCCACATCGCCAGGCTCAATACGACTGATACACTTTGGTCGCATGCTCGACGACAAATCCCCACTCAAGGGTAAGCACCTCCATCTCATCGTATCATGTCAACGTTCTTGGCACGGCTCGTCCAATCGCTCGGCACATGCCGATCATTGGTTAATGCAGCCACGACGCGCAGCCCGCATCGATAGACACTCCAGACTCCAAGGCCAGCTACTGACATCGGACAGACTGCCGGTTCCAGACAGACTCGCCCAACGTGGTGCACATGACAGTCAAGCCACAGGAAATGGTGGACGACGAGGAAAACGCCAAGACCGGCAAAACTGGCAGCCGAAGAGACAACGACGAGGAACCTACAGCTGGCTGTCGCTGCATCATTTTATAGGCATGTGATCAGTCGACGACACTCTGGGTCCGCAAAAGTATATACGACATATCGCGCGCAACGGTGGACCAAGTCTTTGGCCCGTCGCTTTTCTCATCGTACCCTTCGAGGGTGTTTCTGGTTATCATAATTGGCCGTTGCAGGCGGCTTTGGGTCGCGGCGTTTTGTGAAGCGAAGTTGGGTACTTTCCTCACTCAACACAGTCTAGTTTCTGCTTCCTTGCGAGCATATGGGGTTCGCAGTAGTTTGGTCGAACTTGGAGGTCATTTTCTTTATCTTTTGTATAAGTACGTACATTTTCTGCCGAGGGAGTATCGCTGGGTCAGGGGAACATGGGAATAGACCGTATTGAATCTTGTGACAAATCTTTCTCATGTGAAGTGATTAGAGTAGACGAAAGTGACAAGCGATGATAGTCGTGATGCGAGACGCTAGTTGCGCAATGGTATCGTGTCAAGGTGTTCGCAGCTGCCAGGTGGACCCTGATCCCGAGGTTGTGTTCGATGCCGTCATCAACGCTTGAGCTAAGCTCCGATGTCTCTTCATCACACCACGCACCACTTCCTACGACCATACACCGTCACGACTCAATTGCCCATACATCACTATGGTGCTTCAGGACGTCGACAATACAGCCCCGGAAGGCTTCTCAGATAACCCATACCCCTCCTCGGACGATCCATATGCTTCCGCGTCGCCGCCCTCCTCAGGCGCTCGCTTCGACGCGAGCGTCCTGCCCCAGCCATTACCGATCATAGGCACCTTCATGGGCTTCTCCGATCGCGCCGTTCGCTTCAAGACCGAAACTACCCTTAAATTCGCCGAGCGCAAAGTCGGCCGCCAACTGAATCCAGAAGAAGCGCAGGCGCTCGCATTCCACATATACCAGCTTGAGCAGACAAAGAGCTATTTCGCCTTCACAGGTGCAGCTGCAGGAACCTACCAATGGTACAGAACTATGGACAAGATGAAGTATCCCTTCTACCAGCCCAAGGTCGAGGACATTGACCGGAACAAGTTTGGTCCGATCAAGGGCAACATGGCGCAGTTCGCACGACACACATGGCGGTTTTCCCTGTACGTTCTGGTGGCGGGACAAATGGGCAACATTATCGGTCAACTACTCGCGCAACCCTTGGCTGCGGTCAATACCTCGAATGATCCTAAGCTGGAGCAGTTTGGACAGGAGTTGAAGGCTTCATCACACGCTGAAGGGCAACGGACCGCACAACAAGGACGTGAGATTGAGGATAGGCGACGACAGTTCCAGGAGCAGGTCAGGAACAAGGCAGGAGGTGGCCCATCACCACAGGTTAGCTGGGGCAAGCAGCCTCAAGGCAACGCTGATGGAGGCGACGACATGAGCCCGACCGCTGGAAACGAATCATGGGGTACCAGAACCGCGGGATCAGACACATGGGAGACGTTCTCGAACGACACATCACAACCAGCTCCACAACGCCAGCAAGCACCGCCCTCATCCCTTCCATTCGATGACGACGCTTCCCCCACTGGAGGCCTCTTCCAGGACGAAGTCAACAACCCACAACAATCACAATCCCAATCTCAAGCAAGACCTGGTGAGTCGTCATGGGATCGTCTCAGGCGCACCGGAGGAGGAGCAGCAGCGCCACTTCAAAGGCCACAGCAGCAACAATCGCGCAGAGCGGAACCGGAGCGCAGAGAGCAAAGGGAGGGGTCCACGCTTGGAGATTCGTATACGTTTGTTGCAGGCGATGAGGAGAGGGCCAGGGAGAGACAGCGCGCTCAACAGGAGTTCGATGCTAGGCTAGAGCAGGAACGTCAGGGACGAGATTTTAGTGATGAGGGAGGCAAGAAGTGGTAGAGGCGATGATTGGAAGGTATATCAAGGAAGGATGACTGATTTGTCGTATGCATGTGCGTTTCCCTCATTCATCTAAGTCGCGGACCCCTGACTTCGCACAGTGTGGTCACATGCGTGCTTTCACTTCCTCGTCTGCGGAGTGGAAACTTTTAGGCTTCTCTTGCTCGCTCCCATATAATCGCCCACTCACCGCGTTCACTTTTTCGAATGTCACTTAAATAACCTGCTCTCTCACTTTTCAACCTTTGCACAATCACCCAGCTACCAGCCGCCGACAATGAACGACGACGACTACGAAGCGAACGATAACTTTTGGAGTGATTTCTGGCCGAACGATTGCAGCCCCGAGGCCTTACAGCTAGCTTTGGCCATGAAGGAGTCTGGCGCCGACATTCGCCCAACACGTAATGGCTTCGAGGTCAACGAGCAAGCAGGCCGCCCACATCCCATCATAGGCGATGCGCCGAAATGCTGTCCAGATTCTAAGCACTGGACCATGGACGACGGTGACTGGGTCTGCATTGGGTGTGGTGCGGTGTACGCGCAGAACTTTTTTCACGCACCCGCGCAACCAGCTCCGGCTCCACTCCTTCCTCCAACTGACCTGGTGGTCAATGGAAATCTCGTTCTGCCGCCCATGTCTTGCTGCCTGAAGCCTGACCCTCGTGAGGATGGAGATGAGCGGACTCTGTGCGACCGCTGTGGCCAGGAATACTTCGATTATAAATATGATGAAGACTTTCAGAAAGCGATCGAAGCAGGCTCGGGATTTGGTACTGGTGGGCCGACGTCTGGTGAGTCAGGGCAATCGATGGTTCAACAAGCAAGTTCTCACTGGAGGAACCAAGGTAAGAGGACCCCATTAATATTCTGGTGAGGACTCATAGCTAACTTGTGCAGCCGATCTATACATGTACAATCTTCGTCAACCAGCAAATCTGAACCACGCTCCTCTTTCGACGGGATCGGTTACTGGCTCGAGTGACTTCCAGGCATCCACCGCCTATACACGTCGTCGTCTACGCGCACCGCGTTCTGAAGGCAATATTCGAGCACTGGGAGACGAAGACGACGAGAATCTTGCGGCTTCTCTCCGTGTACCTTCCTTCAACCCAATCCTTCCGCCAGCTCCACCAGTCAATGATCCCACTCCAGGACCATCAAAGCCCAAGGCAAGACGCGCGACAAAACCACCTACTATCACCTCCAACGTTCCGGTGCGACCCCGTCTGCCTAGATATCGCACGCCCACTCACTGTCTCACTTGCATGGCAGAAAAGGGTATCCGCAACATGAACTGCACACTCTGTCACCAGTGTCACTCCGAACGTCATACCACCGGCAGGTGCAAGATGTTGAAGCCAAAGTTCCACAAGTTCATGGAGCTTTCTGTGGAGCTACGTCAGCGCATCTATGCGCTCGCACTCGATACAGACCGACCCATCAGGCCTCATCTGTGCGACTATACCGACGATCAGGTCATTCAGTTCCACGACGACAACGCAGAGCATCACTTCGCGACCAGCGATCTCCTCGGTATCACCCGCGTCAGCAAGCAGGTCCGCGAGGAGTCACTTCCCATGTTCTATTCGACGAATACCTTCTCCATCGGTTATGATACATCGACTTATTTCGACCGTCTCGCGTACCTAGGCCGTTTCCACATGGTCCGCCACGTCCGGTTCCAGATCGATAACCGCAAGGAGTCCATGTCGCCCAGCATCCTGCGCCGCATGAACCAGTACATCAAGGAAGCAGACGTCTACGAGAAGCAGCTTACCGGTCCCGTTGGCCAACATATGTCGTCACTGAAAAAGCATCCCCAGTACCTCTACGGCGGCTGCCCCGAACTCAACACCCTCATCACACTCATGAAACTCACCTCCCGCCTCGACAACCAGCCCAAAACCCAGTACGAAGGAAAAGGCAAAGGCAAAGCCACCTCCGCCACCACCGCCCCACCCTTCCACTCCAAGCTCGTCGTCCCCGTCTCCTCCGTGCCCAACTTCATCGCCTACACCGCCTACAAATGGTTCCCAACCGTCATGTACGGCCTGGGCATCCAACTGCACTACGTCGACAACACGCCCTTTGCTTTTGTCGACGGCGGCACTGTCGGCATCACGTGGGAACAGCGGCTGCAGAAAAAGGATTTTGGCGATATTCCTGATTACGTTGATCCCGTTGATAGTAGCGGGCAGACGGCGGCGTATAAGATGGCGCTTAAGCTGGATCCGGGGTTGGAGGGGAGGCAGAGGCCGAAGGCGTGGGCGTATTTGAGGGAAACTTGTACGGGGGGGAATTCCCAGTGGTTTGATTTGCCGACTGAGGGGGGTGGGGTTGGGTATTAGGTTGTGGATTGATTGGTGGTGGTGATGAGATTGATGATGACATGGATAGATAAAATATGAGAGAAATCAATGCCATAGCATGAGATTACAGTAATCTATGAAGAGTGCTCCTAGAAAGGCAAAGTTGGTTGTGGAGAGCAGTCCCATGTACTAAGACACGTGAGGCTAGAGCACCTGCAGGCTGACTATAAGCAGGCAGGTACGTCCCACCCATCACACCCGACATCTCACATCACATTTCACCACTGCCATTCTATTCTGATTATTTCATACACACCAGTCATGTCACTCTGCGTAAGTTGCAGCTCTATACCCTTACGCGCGCTCGCCCGCGGCGAACATCCTCCAGGCTGGGAAAAGAAATCTTGGACCGACGACAATGGCATACCCTGGGGCCACAACAGCGAGACTTGGATATGTGATAGACGCCAAACTACCTTACCGCTATTGAGAAGAAGCGCTTTAGAATGTGTCATATGCAGCATGCTCATGCGGGATCTGGAAACACGGCCGGTTTACAAACGAGTCGCACAGGAACAGGATATGGAAGTCACCCCAGCATGGCTTCATCTATCCGAATCTGAGACCTACGGCACCAAACTTGATCTTTATCTAGATAAGGACATGCCTGAAGCTACTGCTGTGGAGTTTCGAAATAGATTTGGTATGTTTGGATAGGATCTTATTGCTGACCCATTGCGAGAACGCTAATCCAAGACAAGATACCCCATCTCCGAACTTATTCAAGCCAGTAAAATTAGAAGAATCGCTTGACTCGACGCCAGTGAAGCAATTTAGGGCTTGGTTTGATAAATGCAACGCCCGGCATGAGAGATGTTCTGCGATCCAGCAAGATTCGTTGTTGCCTACAAGAGTGCTAGATCTCGATGACATGCCCAGTTCCGACGCTCTAGCCGAAAACATGAAGCAGTGGCCAGAACTGTTTTCTCAATCCAAATGTAAGCTAGTCGAAACGACCGCTGGTCAGAAAGGGAAGTACGCAACGCTGAGCTATTGTTGGGGAAATGGGTTGCCGTTCATGACTACCACAGAGACGCTTTCAATGCGAAAAAGCAGCATCGGCTTTCAAGATCTTCCTAAGACGCTTCAAGATGCTGCTATGGTAGTGCGGTCTCTCGGCCTACGGTACATATGGATTGACTGCCTGGCCATTGGTATGAACCGACTCCTGTGTGTACAGTACCTATACTGACGCTTGTACTCTTACTATTAGTACAAGATGACACAGCAGACTGGGAGAAAGAATCTGCTGTCATGGCCGACATCTACTCCAGATCATACATCAACATCGCTGCATCCAACGCTTCACATTGCGGAGCAGGCTTCCTAGGACCACGGAAGATGCCAATGACTGAACGTATTGAGATCTACGATAGCGAAGGGGAACTAGAAGTATATCTCGTTGCCCAACAGACACGCAACTACGTAAGCTCCCACCCCCGAGACACCGTCGACTCATGACTAACATAACCCAGGCACTTCCAAGCGATCCCCTCGAAACACGAGCCTGGGTCCTCCAAGAACAACTCCTACCATCCCGCTCCCTCCATTTCGGCAGCGCCAACATGTTCTGGCGCTGTCCCGACGGCATCTCGCATGAAGAGCAAAGGCGAGGCTGGACGCACCTCTATACCCTCGACGCCGTAGTCTACAGCATCAACCTCCCCATCGGTGCCGCCATTGGCCAAGACGCATGGTTCCAACTCGTCCGCGACTACACCGCCCGCGGGATAACATACCCCAAAGACAAATTCCCCGCCATCTCAGGCGTCATGACCGTCTTGCAGCGTATGACTGGCGACGTCTGCGCTGCGGGACTGTGGAAGCGGAATTTCGCAAAGTGGCTCCTGTGGGTACCTAGGCATGATGTTGCGCCTTTTAAACGGTCGGATATTTGGACGGCGCCGTCTTGGTCGTTCATGTCTGGGAAAGGACCTGTGGATTACGGGTTAGGTGATCTTACTACAGGTATGAATACTTCGCTGCGAGGCTTCTGTGCATTTCTTGAAGAATGCAGGGTCGTGCCTAAAGGACTTAATCCGCTTGGTGAGTTGAAAGATGGGTGGGCAAAGATCAGTGGATCGGTGACCGACGTTACTGCTATCGGGAAAGATGTAGCGACAGGGAAGAGTCCGTATCGGTCGTGTAAGGTGCAGATGCGCGATCAAAGCTACCATGATGCGCGCGTTCTTTTCGATGTAGAGGCATATGAGGCTTGTGAGGTTCTGATCGTTGCGCCGGCTTTGGGTGTGGCAATCATTAGTACGGACAAAGAGCGGGGCGAGTATTTGAGGGTTGGACTGGTGGTGATTAAGAGGGTAAAATCCGAGGTGAAGAAAGATGTAAGTACAAATACGGTCAAAAGTGACGATGATGAGATCGCTAACATCATGGTAGCAGTCGAAAGAGTGGTACCCTGAAGCGGAGGACTATTCCGAGCCACGGTCGATTGTTCTCCGATGAGGTGGCGGACTTGCATGCCAAATACGAGGCGTGTGTGGATCATGTTGAATGTCGGCGTAGAATACGAGCCGCCAGTTAAGTAAAGGTTGAACCAATACTCATGATATTCATCGAGTATGAGCGAGTCTGACTTGGGGGACTCGCGTAGCCTCAGGTTTTCGACCATGGTTCGCTACCGCACATATCCATAGTCCAAACGACCAGGAAAATGGGCGAATTATTTGAGTAACACAGGAACAAAGCTGCGGATATATAAAGTGTGCCGTCAATCATTAGAAGTCACATATCGACCTACAATACTTCAACCCCAAAGCAAAAAATCTACGCATTTGCCACAAACAAAACATTAGAAAGGCTATACCCAAAGATGCCTTCCGAGAACGAACGACCAACCGATGAGATGACAACCCTTCAAGCTCAATGCACAGCCAAGTCATTCCATGAGCAGCTTTATGAACACCATAGGAGGGCGGCGACTACCCCGGATATAATGGGCCAGATTATCAGACCTGAGCCAGGTCTGTACCATCAGCAGAGCTACATACGCCATCGGTCTGGATGCGTATGTACCCTTCCTTCCTCACCAACACAAGAGTACAAACGCTTTGAGGGTGAATACGAGACCGCAGAACAATTCGCTCAGGATTGGAACCCAGCAAAATTCCCCAAAGCAAAAGAATGGACAAACGACGATTTCCACTCAGCGATACAGCACTGGACTTTTGATCGCAATAAGAAGAACACACCTGAAGCTATTGATGAAGCAGAAGCGGCGCTGTATGATCCAAACAGCGGTTCCTGGGCTGGTACGCAAGAGTGGGTTAGAGAACAACACGTTTGCGAGACAGTATATGTATGTCTCTTGAAAGTGTTGAGACGATATGGGTACTGGAGACATTCCATCACCCTTCGGTCCAAGTCTTGGGACGGCCAAAAGATAACGATATATCGCACGCAGGGGGCGGAGGACCTTCCCCTATGGCTTCAGTGTCATGGATTTGAGATTGAAGATGATGAGATTGTGGCTGATGAGGATGGGGAGGACGTAAAGAAGCTAGACGCTATGGTAGGGGAATGGCTTTCACACTTGGAGGTTACCGAGTAGACTTCTTAGGACGACGGATATAATGGAACGTTGTCCGTGTTAAAGTTGGAAACCCGCGATGCGTTTCCGCGCGAGCGAAGATCCAGTATGGTAGTGATCAGGGAGTTGAAGAACGCATAATCCCTCCCTTGGGATAGCTAGAGTCTGGGTCGCATTTGCTGAATACACACTATCGAAAGTCAACTACTTCGCAGCTCCTAAGATCATGTATACGTCTACGCAGATACCATTCTTAAAAATATCTCAGGTCTTTGTAGAATGCGACGAGACATGTAACCCATTCTGGTATTCTGACATCCATAAATTTGTTGGTACGATTGGCGTGTTCATGACGTCTGGACAAGATTTGTATGCGGTAACCGCAGAGCATGTTATCAACAACGGGTCTAGAGAGATCCTCAAGATCATAAAACTGCAGAGTATTGGATTGAATGATCGTAAGACATGTCTGACTGTTCGACTTAGAAAGAGACTGCAGATGATATGGCAGCAAAGCCCTGGGGTTCCCTGTAGCGGATGCCCGGAAATAAGCTACCCGGTAGAATGCGGGGAAGTCGACGGTCCCTGAATCGCGTCTCTGCGACAACAACAACCTCGGTGCACCTAGCTTTCCCCGACTCCCTGCGAAAGGAAGCTTTTGCGATGAATCACATTACCTGTTCTCGCGCATTGTCTTTGGTACACCCGGTTGATTGGGGTTAAAGAGACGGATCGGTCGTTGTATCTTTTATGAACACCTCTGGAACCGGACGATAAGTGGAAAGTGGTCGTTACTATGGCATGTAAGCATCTACCTCTATCCTCTCGTGGTATTCTCGGATGTTGACTATCTTCAAGTACCCATAATCGCCGGAGCAGCAGGCACAGCAGCCCTAGCAGCCTACCTCAACGCGAAATATCATATTGCCCATGACCTTAGGCGTAAACGCGGTGCTCTCTCGCCGACACAAGATGTCCTCGACTTCATCACCGACCGTGCAACTCGCAAACGTGCTCTCACGTACCACGCTTTCGAAGACCAGGTCCGCAACCAGCCGAACCATCCATTCCTCATCTTCGAAGGCAAAACCTGGTCATACAAGGAGTTCTTTGATGCATTCACCAGGGTGGGGAATTGGTTGATAGAGGACCTGGGCATACAAGCTGATGAGGTGGTTGCTGTGGATGGCGGGAACAGCCCGGAGTATCTGATGCTCTGGTTCGCTCTCGATGGGATTGGAGCTGTTCCGAGCTTCGTCAACTGGAACCTCACTGGGACAGGATTGGTGCATTGCGCAAGGGCAAGTATTCCTGGATCTGGGCGGATAGACACTGGCTGACTTCTGCAATAGCTATGCAACTGCAGATTCCTCATCGCAGACGCCGATGTCAAGAGCAATGTCGAGCCATGCCGTACGGATCTCGAGGAGACCGGCATCAAGATCCAGTACTACGATCCCTCGTTCTTCGCGTCGCTACCGAACCCGACTATTATACCATACTCGCGTCGCGAACACATCACTATAGAGTCCCTCCGCTCGCTACTGTACACTTCCGGAACGACCGGGCTGCCCAAAGGTGTGACTTTGAGCACTGGTCGCGAGCTCTTGACTGGCTACAGCGCCGCCAAATACCTCGAACTGAAACCGGCATCCAGAATGTACACATGTATGCCACTTTATCACGGGGCTGCGCATGGCCTTTGCGTTACACCGATGGTTCATGCTGGCGGTACAGTCGTATTGAGCCGGAGGTTTTCGCACAAGACCTTCTGGCCTGAAGTCGCAGCTTCAGATGCGGATATCATTCAGTATGTCGGCGAGCTCTGCAGGTATCTACTCAACGGCCCGACGAATGCATTCGAGCGGAAACACAAAGTAAAGATGGCATGGGGCAACGGCATGCGCCCTGACGTCTGGGAACCCTTTCGTGAGCGTTTCAACATACCCATCATCAACGAATTATACGCGGCTACCGATGGATTAGGGGCAACATTCAATCGCAACGCTGGTCCCTTCACGGCGGGCAGCATAGGTCTCCGAGGGCTGATCTGGAATTGGCGGTTCGGCGACCAGGAAGTGAGGGTGAAGATGGATGTTGATACGGAAGAGATCATGAGAGATGCAAACGGCTTTGCAATCAGATGTGGAGTGAACGAGCCGGGCCAAGTGCTGCATAGATTAACGCCGGAGACGGTGGCTACTTCACCAGGCTACTACAAGAACGAAGGTGCCACAGAGAATAGGAGAATTAGGGATGTGTTCGAGAAGGGTGATATGTAAGTCATCCTTCCAATCTCGTCGACTGCAAGCTTATGATAGTAGATGGTTCAAGTCTGGAGACATGATGCGACAAGATGCCGACGGCCGCGTCTTCTTCGTCGACCGTCTAGGTGATACATTCCGTTGGAAGTCAGAGAACGTATCGACAAACGAAGTAGCCGACATGCTCGGAAAGTTCCCGCAGATCGCTGAAACGAACGCATACGGCGTCCTTGTGCCTGGATACGACGGCCGAGCGGGGACTGCATCTATCGTTATGGCAGATGGAGTCACAGAGTCAACATTCGACTTCGCAGCCCTGGCAAAGCACGCGAAAGCGGTCTTACCGAGTTATGCAGTGCCGCTGTTTCTGAGAGTGACGCCTGCATTAGAGTATACGGGTACTTTAAAGATTCAAAAGGGTAGGTTGAAGAAGGAGGGTGTTGATCCGGATAAGATCACTGGAGAGGATAGGCTATACTGGCTACCGGAAGGTAGTGATCGCTATCTTCCATTCACGAAGAAGGATTGGGAGGCTGTAGTAGAGAAGAGGGTACGATTGTCATAGTGTTTCTATCATAGCTGACCTCACAACAAATGCATCATATGTCTTACGAGCCATTTCTGCTCCTGATTGAGTGCTACACCATGAATTCAACGCTTCCTAGGGCCTACATTGACGTTAAGTCATCTACTTTGCATGTTTTCATCTTGGTTTAGGCTGCAGACCTACTCAACCTCTTCCTTGTGTGAAGGGTACTGGTGACTAATTCAGGCCACCAAGGAAATCCATGTTCTCAAGTACAGGCGACGCCATCCCAGTTGGCCATCATCCACGTAAGTGCGTTGATCGGTCACTACATTTCTTCGATCCACTTTTGAACGACAAAAGACCCCACCGGGCATCAATCATCGTCGCCCTCTCGACATGCATCGCCTGCATTCTACATTCACTCCATGGCTGTACCATGGGGCTCATTACGCTGATCTCAAAAACACCTTCGGGGTTGTACGCTACGTCCAAGGCGCAGCTAGCCCCGTTGTGGCTGCATAGACGCTGGGGCGTAAGGGTCCACAAACCATGATCTTTCCGCCCACGACATTCGTCAGGTTCTACGTTACGGGTGACACACGTGGAAAGGAACGATGGCTAATGTGTTGGTTAAAAGGGTAGGTGATCGAGCCAATCAGGTGGCATGGGGTTGAACTTGCGTGCATTGTTGCGTGAGTCCCGAGAAGAGGGTTGAGTCCGGAGATTTGGTCTATGTTTTTCGGTGCGGCAGTTTGTCGCTTCATTATATGGGATACTATGGAGGATTTGGGAAGAGATTGAGTGTATGCTTGGACTGTAAAGATGGCTCGTTGTGCTGTTGAGATGGAAAGTAAGTTTGGTTGGGGAATGGGGCTACGTAGAGGGGTCCTCCTGGTGCTGATTGTGTTCTACGTGTCTCTGAGACCTAAATGCGCCACCTGTTGTGGTTCCTGGGATGCCTTAACATACATAAGCATTGATGTATAGCCTTTGGCTGTCCAAGATGATAGCCAACACGAAACAAGCAAGTGGGCAGCCAGGAATTACCTTGGCCTACATGATGGATCTCCTGTCAGAGAAGAGATAGAAGCATTAAACTGTCGGTAGATTTACCGGAGCGGAAATCTAGGTTGTAACCTTCGATAGTTTGCTGTCAAACTGTGAGGCGACGTTGGGCGTTGGGTAGCTCTGGCGTATTGAATCCCACGAGTCGCACTCGACCAACGCATCGTAATTACCCTTCAAACCATACTTTGGGACAAGCAGACCATGCGCTCCATCCACGAACAACGTTAGAATAAGTGAAGCATGATTCAGCAAGACGCGATCGTGATCAGTCGTCCCAGGGTAGACGAAGGGGACAACTGAAGCGAGCCGACAAGCGAAAACGTCAACCCGGATTCGATCAAACCTTCAATCGCCGTTAGAGCGCGCCATTCCCCTTTGACCCAAAACAACAATGCGACACTTTACCCCAACTCACCTCCAACAAAACTATAATACACACAGATCTTCACGCGACAGCCGCATACAGACGGTGTAGTCAAGCTAGCACCCAACTTCCCTAACCGCCACGCACCTGCCAATTTACCAACAGTAAGGAAAAGTCTCCGAATCCAGCCAAAAACACCACAAATCTCCCCCAGAAACTCTCCAGTTGGTCGGTTCGCTTGCTCCCCACCCCCTTTCGCAGCCCAGCCCCCACACGAAGGGGGGCGCGCAATACTGTATCGATCGCCATGCTCGAGTCCCTCATTTTCAGCCCTACAATCGCCCGCTGTCATCGAAACCAAATCTGAGGTTGAATCGTAATCATCGTTAAATTCAGCCCAACGGTTCTATTCCCATCTTAGATGGGGCAGACCAGAAACTTAGTAAACAGGTGGCATGCACTGGGCGTGTGATCGACCTAGCCGCCCACCAGCGCTCGGTACTCAACCTGTTACGCGTCCGGTGTGGAAAAAAGGGAAAAGGACCAACAATCATCTGCCGGACTTTCTGAACGGTGTGCGCAGGACTACGTTGGCAGTTGGTGCTTGGTGGTGGTTTAATCGGTGCGAGAACTGTGTATTCGGGGCGAATGTCGCGATGCATGGGTGACCGTGGCTAGGATCTGGTTCTGTCCTGGTCTGGCTCGGCTCTCCCTCACCTTCAAGTCCCTGACTCGACTCACCAACATGATCGTGGAAGTGATGCGCACGAACACCTGTCGAATGGAAAATGCCGGACGCTGCAGGGCTCAACGGCACATGGATTTTCGCTTTCATCGGGCTGGGCGCATCGCTGGACGCATACACCTCATTTACCAGAAAACGGGAATACTGGTAACACGGATTTCTTTGTTCCGCTTCGCAATACTGTACGGATTAGTACGAAGGCGGGATACGGGTTTTTACATTGGGCCGACTCACGACATATCGTCGTCAGGTTTGTTGTGCTATAGGGGGTTCGCGGAAGCTGGGGCAGGGGGTTTGGCCGCGTGCGCTCTTTGTCAATCTGAAGGTCTGGACAAGGATGGCATCGTGGGCACGGGTTTCCGAAGCTTCCGCCGCCGCACCGGACGGGCGAGGAGAGGGCGCTCATGACGCGATGCGACGCGTCGTCTTTCTGCTTTCGAGATGACGGTGTAGCAGCATGAGGATGAATGCGACGAAGACGGTGTGGAATACATGTCAGACGCCTACTTCTTACACCCCGCGTGGAGGGTAAATTCTCCTTCAGCCCTACAGCGCGCGAACGGTTGTCAGATCAGTAAGCCCTTGCGCGAGCAACCGCCGGTGGAGTTGACCCTGGAGAATTGGGTGCTGACATATACAACGTGGGAAATCCGGGGTATCAGATACAACTGTCCACCAGGACAGTAACGTGAGCAAGATATGACGTGATTTGATTTGATTGCAAATGCTCTCCATGCATGGCCCCTTCACAGGAAGGATCATGCTCCTGGAACCCTATACTTCCGCTGCAAATACAGTGTGACGGAGGAATCGTCTCGTGCTCGGATGTAAAAGACCGTCTCAACCCGTCCTCCGGGCAGCAGCGAAGTGCGAGAGGTGTCACAAATCGCCGAGACCCTTTGCTTCGGGCTCGCACGGGAATTTTGAAACTTTGCCCCTTTAGGAAAGCGTTGCGGTCAATCCTTCTTCTCTGCATTATCCTGAAAGCGTTTAGGCGGCTTCGTACTCGCCTCTTTGCCGCTAATGGAACGTTGTTCGTTGGTTCGTTTACATGTGAAATCCGCTGGGCAACTAGTTGCGAATTGAACGCAAGGCTGAATCGACAGGTACTAGTTGGGGCTGTCTTGTCGATGGTCCTTGGAATTCTTCGGCATCGGGGTCTGTGTCAACGCTACGGAGCGTTGTACGATATTCGATTCGCAAATCAAACTTAATCGCTCGAATCCAAGATCAACGGCGGTGGAGTTAGAAGGGCGTTATTACCGACAGAACGACCGTTGGGGACCGCCCAAAGGATGGACAAAGTGCTTAGCGGCTTGCGATAGTTACCGGCGCTAAAACATCCTGCCCAGGTGTCAAAGCTCTAGTATTAGACAGTTTCTGCGGAACAGTCACGTCAAGCGAGCCATGCGCTTGCTGACAAAGGTCGAGGGAGGCATACCTTTCGTAACGATACTCGTGGGCGGTGCACGAACCCGAGTATGGTATGCGAGACAGTGCGACGCCTGCCCTGTACGCGACTAAGTGGCGCGGACGTTTCAACGGCCAACCTGAAGGTATGTTCTGCGAACAACGATACGTGTCGCAGAGCGTGACGGGGCGACACAAACTCTGCGCTTGTAATTATCGTATGCAAAAAGGCTCAGGCGTAGCTGGTGGCCTTGCCGAATGGCTGCCTGCTGGTATGGGTCCCGGAATAGCGTGGCAGACGAGAGCAACAGACGAGACACGGTTGAACCCGTGAAGGATGCTTGTGCCACTGTCCGTTTCACACCAGCCTCTCATGGAGCTTTCCACACAGCCGCGCCGGAGTTGACTCCGTGCCGTGGCATCTCGCGCTCTGCACGTGACGAAAAACCGGTCACCGAGTGCCCGCTTGTTATCGTGGGATTGCTAGATCGCATCCGGTATGCCGAGCAACGAATTGCGCTCCGTCGAAGCTGTCGCGAGGCGTCGTGGCGCGGTTTGCGTACCGAGTGATCCGCATGCTTCTTGAACTACTCCCAGATGTGTAGTTGTAGTGCATGTGGAGACTCTTGTATCGTTTCAAATTCGAATTATCCATGGTATGTGGAATGCGTCACTGGCAGAGTCGCGCAGCCCCACTAGAGGCTGAATCCCACGAGGCGCAGGCTTCGCAACATGCTTCCGCATCAGGCAAGTTGCTGTCGCACGTAGGATTGCTTGAGACCTACTTGCGTCACATCTCTCGCCCTGCTGCTCCTCACGCTTGCGAAGTATACTCGCTGCGTACGAGCAGTCTAGTTAGCTGCGCTCTCAAAGTTATTTCAGTTGGCTCATATCGATATGGTTACGCCGCAGACGCGTAGGTAGGGTTGCATCGGCAGGCAGCCTGACCGGTAGCTGAAAGATTGGCTTGATTGAAGGACTACTAATGGAGGATGGAATATCAATTCATGGAAGGGCGAGTCTGTTTATGGCTCAAGCGAGTGACGAGCACCGGATGATCCAATGGTTCGGGGCTGTATGATCCCGTCTGGGGCACCGCGGGGTAGGTGGTGGGATGATGATTATTCAGAGATCGGCGAGGTTCTAGTGTCCGACGGCGTAGGCGTACTCGCTGACTTGCTAGAAGCAGTAGTTGATGCAAGGAAACAGAGTGGAAACTATCCTTGTGTGCGTTTGCGCTTTTCGAATACCCGCATTCTTTGCAGTCACCCTGCATGTCGTGAATAACAGGTTGTTGCGCAGAAGATCGACGGTGCAGGGTTGTACAGCTGCGCGCCCTTTGACACCCAAATCAATATCGCGATGCTTCAACGGACGAAGGCGGAGGTCAAAAGACTGACCGATCGCGATGCGGACTTAACGTGGCAGCGGTGACCTAACCTGGCGTTC